TAGGCCATCATTTGGTTGTCAACTTGTTTAGAAGCTCTGTGCTCAGTGCTGTCACCTATGGCAAGAAGCTTTATTGCAAGGATAATGAGGTACTGTAAGGCATGATTAACAGCTTCCATCTTTTTAGTTTCAACAAGCATTTCATTTAAATTTCTATTATTATAATAGAACTGGCTGAAAACACCTTTTTCAAGGACTGGTGTTATAACTACTCTGTCAGCCAAATATTGTTGCATATACAGTACCTGCCCTGCTAGTATACACTGTAATCTGTTTTGCCATTTCTGGAAAGTGTTTACACAGAATAACAGATGCATGGCTTATTCAAATGCATCACATTTACATAGCTTTTATGTCTGCCCCTTAACGTCACATCTCATCAGTGTTTATAGAAACCACATTGTTTGTTGTGACATTTTTTGACAGCATTTAAAGGTACACAAATGCAGACATAGCATGATGCAATGCAATTATTCCTTTAATTTGAATAGGACATTTTGGAAAGACTGCATTTAGATTATATGAACTTAAAAGAACACAATGGATAGCTGTTTCTACTGTGCAAGAAAATCAGCGGTGTGAGTTGATTCTGAAACACATGCTGATTTAAAATAGGAAAAAGGAGTATGGGGAGAGGAGATGGTGCAGAGCGAGGGCATGGGAGAATTTAGCAAGAAGGGAAAGACTGAGGTAAGTTGACGGAGTGAGAAATCATATGAGGATGAAGGACGTGAGTGAGCTTGAGGGACAGTTTGCGAGAGAGAGAGACAGGGGCAGAAACAGAGTGCAAAGGGAGGAGAAACGAGAAAACAGAAGTCTGACTCTGACAGTAGAGCACTGAGTTCAGCTGATGGCCCCTAATGAAGTACGGCAGCTGCAGAGGAGGAGCCCACGCTGACAGGCCGAGACTCACTCTGACGGATGGTGGAGAAGACACACGTGCACACACACACACACACACACACACACGTACACATACACAGACCAGAAAACAGCTAAGATTTAAACATACTGAACCTATGATAGACGTGGCATGCAGTGAGGAGCCGAGTACTGAATGGCAGAACATTGTCAGGATTCTCTGAATACATTGCATGGTGTGCATATTCCCCTTTTCTTCCTCCAATGAACATTGGAGGAATTATTTTCTGGTCTGGGACTGACATTAGAGAAAATCACTATCCCTTCTTAATTGTATTTGTGGGTTTGTCTTCCTTCAACTGACAACAAATAGTCTATTTGATGGAGGTGAGTGGGAGTAAAAAAATCCATTCTCCACCAGTTTTTTCCAAGTCAATTATGAGGGTGGTATTTTGGTACAAGCATGAAAGTCCATTTTGTTTCCATATATTCATGTCTTATATTTCGAGGATGGCTGAAGAGTCAATACAATCTTGAAATACCTGTGGTGAGTCACCTTCATTGTTCAAATGTGATGAAATAAATGTGCTTTTGCTGCCGTCTGTTTTTGTTAACCAATGTTGAATAAAGGACACACTCTCCACCTGCATTACATCTTAACAATGGAAAGACTAGACTACTTTTGTGCACACAAAATTCTATAATAAAGGCCTACAGAGATACAGAGATACAGAGACACATTAAATCAATAGATATTTGCAGCAAGGGCTTGACAATGAGATCACATCACAAGTTAAAGATCACATTATTGTGAATGTCTATAGATCCAGTTGCAGCTTTTATGTTGGTTAAAAAAAGCCCTCTACTTCCCTCTTGAGGATGGAAGCAGTATTTGGAACGCTATTTATTTTATGTTCTGAAGCATCAAGATTACAAAAAAAATGTTTAAAAACCTTTCATATAATACTGGACTACAACAATCCTGAAATCTCTTTTTTTTCAAAGTCAAAACATTAGTATTATTGAATTCATTGGCCATCTAATCGGCTGCACAGTTACTCTCTGGAAGGAACTCAGAAATGTGTCAGCATGGTCCAATCATATAACAACCTTCCATCTCTGGATATTAACAAAAGAATGCTGAATCATTCAAGGCTCATACAAGTAATCTAAATGGTTTCTGTAATGAAAGTAAATCTGGATTTGACCCATTGTGATCAAACCTTTAATATATATACTAGTGCATACAGTATTTCAGAAAGGCACTGGCATGTTCTCTTAAAAATATGTGTATTTAGTTTTTTGTATGAAATTCTTCCACGCTTTCAGGCCACATTCAGATCCAGTGGCAGATTCATTGATAAAGTCTTTTCTCTGCCCGTTAATTACAGAGCCAGAAGTTATCATTTTATCAGACAGACCTTTCTTTTCGAGTTTTTAATCAGGTAATTGCCTTTGAGATTTTCCCATATGGTGACATCATTTCTCCTCTGTTCTCACCTGAAGATGGAAAGGGCAGAAATTACTTTTTATTGATGGAAAAAAAATAAGTTTGCAAAAGTTTTTGCACATTTCTATGTGGAAGTGTCCATGTAGCACACAGTTCATTTTAGATGTGTGCTGGACACAACCTTAACAATATTGCTCACTGACTGAGAAGCCATGCCATTGGGTGTAACAGAAAACGTGCAAAACTATGAGATCCTAGAAGAAGAGAAAGGGGTTCATCTAGTGAATGTAAACAATCCTGAGCATAATAACTAGATTTGGCATCCAAAGGTTCCAGAAAACGACTAAGAGTAATGATACCAGTTCATGTACTTTATATATACAAGTTAATGTGGGTTATGAATAATTCATTAAGAAGAAAAGCATAATAAATATTTACAGAATGAGCAAAAAATTAAAAAGGCAAGTTCAAATTAGCATAACAGAGCAAAACTTACCAAATTTACCAAAATACATGACAGCTGAGAACATTTAAGGGTTTTAGTCAAAGCCAGAGGTGACACAAGTGTTCTGACTGCAGCATGATTTACAGCCCGGGGATCAGTTGGGTAGACAGTACTTGGATATCAGAAGGTGCATTAATGATACATGACAGCAGGTGGCAGCAAACAACTAGATTTCTTAGTATTTGGTGAACACAATAATCTGAGTTTTGTTTCAGTAAGACCTTCAAAATGAACTTGGCAGAGGTATAGATGACAATGACTGGGACTCTGCATTATCTAGAGTAAATAACAGTGCATCTTGCTCCAGGCTTAATTTGATACAATTTAAGGTGGTCCACTGTATCTATTTTACCAATTCCCAACTCTCCAAAATTTATTTCAATATCGCAGATACATACAGATGTCACATGACACCAGCAAACATGACACACATATTTTGGTCTTGTCCCCGCCTGCAAGATTACTGGACAGCGATTTTTAAACATCTTGCTGAGGCACTAAATATTAAGTTGACACCATGTGCAGAATTGGCCATTTTTGGAGTACTAGCAGACCCTCAAATAATTAGGAGTAAATGTAAGGATAGTATTGCCTTTGCATCTTTATTAGCACATAGAAGAATTCTGTTGGAATGGAAGTCACCCTGTGCCCCAAAGCTTCAATGTGGCTTAAGGACCCATGCTGCACTTAGACCTGGAGAAAATTGTGTATTGTGTATAACCTGTATGATTAATTATATAGCTAAGTTAAAGACACTACAGGACAAATTATATGCTCACCTATGCCCTCTGCCTCATTTCAATTTCTTGACAATGCTACCTCTCTGCATGTTGTTGTTTTCTGTATACTTGTATATTTGCTTACAGTAAGAAGGAATGATGATGTTTATCATAGACCATCAGGTTACCTTTTACTAATAACAAAAATCCAAGATCAGTATTGCTTTATTCCAGACTACGTGCTCTTGAATAGAACATAGCTTGACAAACAGATATGGTTAAATAAAATTGTTTATTTAACAATTGTCAATCAATAAAAATAAAATTAAACATTACAAAAATTCTTTAAAATCAAAGAATTGTACAAATCATGGCTCTAATTTATCCTTGTCATGACATAGAAAAATACAAAAGGCACTGTGCATTAGAGTCTGCTGCTTATATAAATCCAAAAAAATAGTCCACTACTAAAATTTGCAAGTTATTAGAAATAACCCCCCCTCAAAAGAGCAAACCCTGTCTAACTCTAGATGTCCTGTCAGTGCAGACTTGGTGCGAATAGGAGCTATGTTTTAAGAAACAGAACAGAAAATTGAATAACTGATTCAGCTAAAGACAGAATTTAAGTTTATAACTGTAAGGAGTGTGAAAAGAAAAATAATCAACCAGTATACAGTGCAAAGACATATAAAACAGTAAATATGTAAGGATGATGGGATGTGTGCAGGTGAGGAGACAACAAATAAGCTTAACAGATTAACCCAATCATTACCTTAAAGACCCTGGAGACCCACACTGGTGGTCAGAGATATTTTGGTATATTAAACTTCCTGTGGCTGAAGTTGTTACAAAAAGCACAAATAACTACCCATGTTTATTTGCAGAGGTCAATAAACTCCATGTACCACCAAGAATCTGAAGTTGTAAAGAGATCTCATCAGCCAAAAACCAACGTGGGTGTCCTGGAGCTCCATATACACACGGATCCTTGGGATCCATTTTTAGGTTGTGCCTAAGGAGTGCCCTATAGGTTCAATTACTTCGAAATCTACAGAAAACCCATATTTTGAATATTACTAGAACCTTTAAAACCCACTGAAAGGTATATAATGTAAAGAACAGACAGAATTGGGGCAGACACCTCGTAACACTGAAATGGGAGTAGTTCAACAAACAAATAAAAGCATTCCATGGAGTGATAAAGTACAACTGCGAGACATTGGTTGTCTCTTCTTGCAAAAATAATCTCTTGCTAAGTCTTGTAAAGTGGCTTTTTTGTGAAACATTCTTTACTAACCCAACCCTTTGCTTTTTAGCTCCAAAAGTCCAAACATGATCTATAGCAAACGCATGTTTCTTTCTCTGTACCTGCTCGCTTCTGTGCAAATAATCCACTATCCATTCAAAGCTTTTAGTAGTTCATACCAAAACAGCAAGATAGCTATTAAGACAGCTATCAACTGCCTTTTTTTTTTTTTTTTTTACAATCTCTTTGGCATCCAGTTTCATGTCCAACTTTCGGTTATGACAAGTATATCAATTCACATCCCAGTTAGAAGGAGTCAAACTGTGTAGCAGTCGTAGTACATAAGAATTACTTTTGGCATCCAATCACTGGATCATACAAGGTTCATTGATGCTTTTTCATAGGAAACCATGCTCATCAAGTCCCTTTGGAGTAACTGGGTTCCACTTTGCAGTCGTCTTAGTTGTAGAATATCCTGGAAGACAAAAGCCAAGGATTGAATCAATGCACACATTTAGAAAAAGGAAGAAATAAAAAAACGTCACGCAAATATGAATAGCATTAATGATAGCATGTGGTACCTGATTCTGATCTGCTTTTGGAAGACTCTGGTGGCTGAACATCTGGCAAAGGGAGCCCCCTCCCTTCGACATCACTCTCCCCTGATGACGTATGGTCCTCTGCTTTCCTGTACAAGCCAGGCCTCTTATGGTATTTGGCCCGGTAAGTGTCTGTCATACAGTTATCCACAGAAAAGTATGTGGTGGGAAAAACCATATCTGTCAAGCCAGGGGAGTCTGTACCGTCATCGTGTCTGGGCTTTGGACTGGGTAACCTCTCGTCGCTCTCGCTGGCCGACAGATCGTTCCTGTCCTGGTCCGATGACCCCGACTTGGAGCTGGCATCCGATGAAAGCCTGTGCTCGGCAGGTGTCTCAATCCACCGACGGAGGGTGGTGTGCGAGAGGAGGGACAGGCCATTTTTAGGTTCATTGCAGGGGCTCGACCGCTTTGGCACCTCCGGCGGTTGTGAGTGGACGCCAGATGGGTCAGCGTGACTGGTGCCAAAGGTCTTGGGGGGTAAAGGTGGGGGATAGTTGTGCGAGAAAGGGTCATTGTGGGCAACGGTGCCAGTCTCTTCTTGTTCAGAGAAAGGTCCGGTAAGGTCGTCTGAGCTGTTCCACTCAGAGCTGCTGGTCTTTGCTAAGTAAGGAGGCACAGGGCTCACGGGGCTGCCATCCACATTTTCCTCTTGTTCGCTGTCCAGACCATTGTTCTTCACCAAGATCCCAGGAGTGTACCGGAAGGCTCTCCCTCTGTTATAAAGCAAAAACACAAACATCAGTATTTTATTTGCCCTTGTGCCAAAACAACTGACTACTTACAGACTGTTCTTTTAAAGATCTGTTTTTTACCTTTGTATTGGCTGACCGGAGAGGATGTTTGTGTCTTCTAGATCTGGAGATTTTCTTCCTTGTTCATCTAGACAATAATAAAACCACATGAGCGTTTCATATCACAACATACTAATTCATAAACTTATGGTCATCACTAGCAGATGGTAAAAAAATAGAGCTAGGTAACATCTGTCAAGTGTTTCTATTTGAACATGGCTACAATTTTTTTTTTCCTGTGTCTCTCCAGCAAAGACGTGTTATCTAACAGGGGTCATGGTGAGGCCCTTCGCCTGGTGCTCAGAGAGGAAGTATCAAAGCAGCTAGTCTGGCAGAGCGCCCTCAGGCCCCCTGTGTACCACTCTGACTGTCTGATCCAGCCAAAGAACATGGCCCCTTAAAGGGAATTTGGGTTCAAATCCAGGCCCTGTTAGCTTTCAGCTAACAGTAATAATGAAACAATAAAGACCATGAATGAACTCGGAGATTTAGAAGTTGGAACGTACAAAAACTAATAAAAGCAAATTCTATAAACTTATTTAGGTCCATTAGGTCATAATGTGATGTCAATGAATTATGCAGCAATAATTTGGAGATAATAATAAGCAAAAAGACATGTTTAAAAACAGGTCCCTGGGTGGGGGCTGGTGTGGAGCTACGCCAAGTTAGCAGGGTGGGTGTGATTTACAAGGCCTGAGACAGACAACAGCTGACCAACAGAACAAGAAAGAGAGTGAATGGCTAAGAACCATCTGTGATGTGTCAGCATACCCTCTTTTTCCTTTTTTCTCTCTTTTTTTTTTTTTTTTGCTCTCTCAAAGCATTAGTGGCTAAATCCTTTGTGCTGGCATGCAATTACGTCGGGGTCAGTCTCCAGACTCCAGATCCCCTCCACAACACTATTGCATTTTTAAGCCGCTAAGTCCATGTGGCAATTCACAATTTGATGACGCTGATCTGCAATGTTGGCAAGCAAATGTAACAATATCATTCTCACAAACAAAACAAAAAAAGGGATGCAGTTTACAATGCTTTCTCCTGAGAAAATCCCTTCATCTTTATGATCACGTGCACTGTCGAGAGAAAGCTTGAAGGAGAAAGCAGCTGGATAACAAGACGGCAAGACGACTGTGCACGACTATTTGCTACTGCTGAAATCAGCCATCAAATAATCGCCATGATTCCATCCGAATTTGATATAAATCTATCCTTCAGGTTGGGGTCTGGCTGATTTCCAGAAAACATTCATTTCAGTGGATTTTTGGGATCACTGCCGTAGCTGCGAACGCCAGCAAAGCAGATGTACTCAAGGTGTCATGCTGTTTACATGGCCTACTGCACTTGCCTGGGAAACCGTCCATGTACTGTGATTGCATGGATTAGACTGTGGTTCAGTGGCCTTTAATGTACTATCTAAACTGCACTAAGTGGTGTGTAATAAAGTTTCCCTGACATTCCCATGTTAACTGGAAAGTATGAATACAAGTTGTTTAATATGATTGAAGGACGTAAAAGTTGTCTCATTAGCGTACATGTTTTTTTTGCACTTGCTAAATGTGTGAACAGCCATGTTGTGTAAGCCACTATATTCATCTTTTAAAAACACTATAAAGATACTCTATTCATGTAAATCACTTGCAGACCTGTCTCTTATCCCATTCCAGTACAAAGGATCACTCTGAGAAATGTTCAAGAGAGGATCTGTTTGGGGCAGTAGAGGGGAACAGAGGTGATATGACATAATTTCAATTATTCCAACTATAAGTGTGAAACTCCCAGAGGAAATACAAAATGTGCCTTCATACAGACCATGAAAGTAAATTCTAACTAGGTTTTGAGAAATTGTACATGCAAAAATTCCCGACAGCCCTTTGAAGTTTTGTTGATGCGACAAAAACAAAAAAACTCTACACATTTCAGTTCTAAGGCTGTCAAGTGGAGATTTGTAGTTCTCTGCGTTCTGCTGTCTGGGGTACTTAAAATTCTTGAACATCAATCAGACTTGCATGCATTGCTTCGGGAGGAAAAATGAACCCTGGAAAAATGTCAAGTTCTCAACAATTTGATCTGTCCAGACTCAAAAAAAGTCATCAAAAATTCTTTAAAATCCCTCAGAATAGCCTTTGTTCATATTGTGCCTTTGATATGGCACAATATGAACATGTACTCCTGCCATGCCATTAACACTTTGGTTATTATAAGTCATTGGGTTGTTGGCATCAATTGTTGGGCTAAGCCAGGTAGTATTAAAGCTCTCAACATGCCAACTCTTGGACAGAAGATGTATGCAAACACCCAACACAAACAAACAAATCTATGTAATTGGATAAAGGATAAAATTCACCATGACTTCTTTTTCTGAACTTTACATCACAAAGGAACACAATACTTACCTCATACAAATTACAATTTGGGGTTTTATATATACACATGATGGCAAAGTTAATTACACAGTCCTTCTGTTTATGTAATCATAATTTGAAGGTGATGTGGTTACAGCCTCTCAAGAGTGTTTCTATGGGCTCTTGACGTCTGTGGGAGCCACAGGAGCCAATCAGGAGAAATTGAGCAAGCCGTGATTTACTGTCAAGGTAGCAGGTCGAAGTGCACCCATCTTCCTGACAACCGTGACCTTTCACGCTGTTATACACGGAATGTTCTGCTACCATTTTGGTATAATGCAGCTCAGTGAGATTTATTCACAACAAGGACAAAAGGTTGTCATTAAGGTGACTAAGAAGGGGCTCAACCTAGACATCCCTTTTTTGATGCAACAAACCTTCGTAGAACAAATGCCTGTGGTCAAAAGGGCAACTGAACTCCTCACAACAGTCCGCCCACATCTGTGTGCTTTAAGAAAGGATTTTGGACTTTAATGGAGTACTGGAATCTGCTCAGCCTTCTTTTCAAACTGCAGTTCAAGCCAGACTACCACCGCTGAACTCAGGCCAAATTGACTCTGGACACATTTACTGCAGCTTGTCAATACAATTTCCAGATGCCAGGACGTAAATATCCTGTGCTGATTTTAAAATAGCTACCGAAAAGATTTTTAGCCATGTTTAGGATTAACAATGAATTATTCAGCATTTCAACACTAACTTATACTTTTCAAATACAAAATTAAGTCTGTTATTATAGTCATATTTCTTTAAAGGCACTAGGAGGCAAACAGCCTGAGAGAGTAAATAAAAGCAATAATGAGTGCATTTCACATTTAAAAAATGCAACATTCTATACACCTTTGTACAATATGTATGTAGTTTGCGGCATCAATTATAAACACATATTTTATCGGATAAGAATGTGCTTTAATAATAATCATTTTAGAGAAAATCCTTTAGAAAATGTAAAAATATATATATCAAAAAGGGATACTGCAACAGTGAATAATTAACAATGGGTGCCAAAGATGTGTTTGCCAGGGATTCCTTCCCATGAATCACTCTGCATGTGAAGATGCTCACAAACTCACAAGACCAGCATTCAACACTAAGCATTTTCTGATTCCGTTTCCCCAACTCACTGCACTTGTGTAAAAGCTATTTTTAACTCGGAATGAAACTAAAGATAGATACAACTGTAGCTGCTGTTTCTATGCTGTATTTCATAACTCTTTGGGACCTTGAAATAACTGCAGTGCTACAAAAATGGCATTTTCGTTCATGTTTGAATACCACCTTCTGACAGGCCCAGTCATGGCATTTTCTGCCCGGCTGGGCACAGCTGGGTGGCCCCTACAAGCTCACTCATCTCCCCTTCTTATTCAGGATTAACTCAGTGTGTTACTGCTGAGGGAATTAGTCAGGCATGTTTCAAGATATTTGTTAATTTAGAAGATATTCTGTCTGTGCGGATACTGTGGATCACAAGCAAGCACGTGCTAGATAAAGAATGTGAAGGGTGTCCAGGCGACAAAACCCCCTAGAGCTATTCATGTCATCTAACCTCGCTCCATCCTGTCTGGAAGATAAAAATAACCATTATTGCGTGACATGACTCATATTTGAGGTGCATCACTTTTTATTTTTACAGATTTTGTTTTTCTTTTTTCTTCTTTCACGGTAGTTGCATTCAAACTGATCGCCTCACACCCTCACCCTCAGATTTGTAAAGCCCTTGACATTCTTCTTTTTATGTAATTATGAGGAAGGACAAAAGACCACATACAAACGAGGATTTTACTTAGCATTGAACCAATTAGATTTTTTTTTTTAAAGCCAGCTCTCTACCAGTTTTCTACTTGAGTTGATGTTTCCTTTAAACCATGTTCATTTCTCTGTGTGCTGCATAACATAAACTTTACTCAGGAAAAAAGGTCAAGGCCAGTCAGTGAGGAACCAGCACACACTTATTTCCATACAGTATCCCTTCCATCAGGCTGTGACCTTAACACCACTGATGGAACAATAAATCAAGGAAATTGCTTAGTACTATCTTAATGTTTCAGATCCTTACAACACACGGAAGTCTATTGGGCAGAGGACATTTTTTTTTGTATGTCAAGGCCTCCAAGCCTTTGTGAAAGACTTTAAAGACTCATTTCCACAATGTAACACATGAAAAGTCTATTATTTCTGGATTGATATATGTAAATTCGAAAATAACAACAGAAGTAATAATACATTTTACATTTTCATATTTTTGTTTTAATCAATGTTTAAATATAACAACTGTTCACCACTGCATATTTAAAATGCTGGGTCTCTGATGGTGTATGTTCACATTTCACCCCGAATATACAGAATAAGCAGACATCGCTACAACAAAGTTACTGGTGTGCAGAAATAAGAAATTATGCAAAGTGTGAGAGATTTACTTACCAGTGGAAATATGCAATATGTCAGCCTTCAAATCATCACTTCTTCTCTGAGGGAAGTGATCCCTAAAATACAAAATAAATTCAATTATTCATGCATTGTGGACTGCCACGAGATATTCCAGAGCTTGATCTTTTACCAGCCGCTTAAGAGGACTGGGATGGGTCTGTGCTGTGAGCAAAAAAATCTGAAATAAACTGTCATGACCTCAGCCTAAACATATCATTTTATCATGAATGATTCACAGTGGTGTAATCTGATACCAACTCCTGCATGTATACATCTTGTGAAAACAACTAGTGCTTGTATGTTTTTTTTATTATTTGATTATGGTGATCAGTTTTTTCCCCTTTGTCGTTATTGATGTTTACAAAGTGGTTTCCTTTTTTAAGTATTTACCTAATAAATAATACATTTTATACATTTCCAGTGCCTTCAGGCCATAACCCAGTCACAGAACATCTTAACTATATGTTAAAGAATGAATAATCAAAATGAGCACTTTACCAAAATACTGTCATGACATAGACTTGAATAACGCACTCGTGGTTGAGGAAGTCAGCTATCTGTGGGATCTCCCCTCTGAGTACAGGAGGTGTCAGCTAGTTGGGATCATTATCTCCAAACAAGACCTGCACTACAAAGCCAACAAATGACAGCCCAGCATAATAAGGCTGGTGCATCTGCCTTGTGTGCATTTATGTTAAATGGGTCTTGCTATTCTTAGAACAGTTTGTTTGTAATGTTTAATCATTTAAAAATGGCAGCACTTTCAAGACTCACATCCTTAAATGAGGAGGGCCTGCGATGACAAAGCAGCGTTCTGACGCTGGCATCACACAGCAAAAAGTGTGTAATAGCTACATCTGCATCATACTGGTGCCAAGATTTTGTGTATTTGACTGATAAAAACGTAACTCTTAACGGTTCAGTTTACCTTGTCAGATGCAGCTCAGGTATGGGCCGCAGGTCCTTTGAAGAAAGGCTCTCTACCACAGGTGAGTCCAGATTTGCTGAGCCATTGCTGAGTCTGTCACTACTTTCATAACCAGATTCAGTTCGCTGGATCTTCCAGTTGTCATTCCGCACTTTTAGAGTTGCTGAGCCCTTCGACCTGTCCTTGTCACTGTAGCCGCCCCGGCTATCTGAGTCCAGCGAGCTTCGGCTGCCGGCTGTTTCGTGCCGTTGTTCATCCTCATAGATGGTCATTAGGCTCTTAGGTTTGCGTTCTTCTCTGCCTCCCCACGTAAAATCTCTGTCTCGCTCTCGGTCACGGGTGGGCGACTGACTACTGGGTCTTCTCCGGGGGCTGTGCTGCCTTCGCTCTTGACTCGCCAAATTACCACCACTACTGCCACTTAACACACTGTCTACATTTAGCGCCTCACGCGTGGGCTTCCAGGGGCGGCTGTACCTGCTGCGGCTGTTCCCTCCACTTCCAGGACGCTCTCGGGAGTCTTGGCTGCTGTCGGTGTCGTATCCGTTGGACAGCTGGTCTAATCTCCGGCTGTGTTGACCACTACTGTTAGTGGGAATGGTGGGCAACACTTGGACCCTCGCTTGAGAGCGGGGGGGCTCATGGGAGGACCGTCCACCAAGGTGTGCCGTTCTCTCAGTCCGAATGGGACCTTTTCCTTGGCTGCTGTACAGTCGGGTTTCCAGGTGTTGTTTGAAGCCATTCTCTGGAGGGGAGACAGAGCGAGAGTAGGTCCTGTCCTGACCTGGATCTGAGTTTAAACAAAGAAAAGTTCATGAGAGTGGGGTGAAAAACATTCTGAATAGATGCTTCACATCAATAATTCAAGAATGTAACACTTAACAGTATATTGACGTAAACTTTTGTTACCTCCCAGCTGCTAAAGCTCCAATCAAATATTAATGCATCAAAGGGAGCAATTAAACATCTTTTGTTTAAAGAGTGGGAATATCAGTTTTGCAGATTTTCTGCTGTACCTGATGCCAAAAGACAGTGTTGTGAATAATGTTGCCAAGACAAAAATGTACTTTCATTGAAACCAAGACACAAAGCTGCGCTAAAGCACAGTGCAGGATGGGCACAAAGTGAGGGAGGAGCATGGCGACAACAGGGTTACGGACATTTCTGTCTGAAGATGACAGGAAGGTGTAAATTATGGCCGACATGAGTCAATCTTATTATGTGGTGTGTAGACAGAGGGTAGCCAGCTCACGTACAGACACTCATGCAGATACTGATGATAAAAAAGCCCTTTGGTGTTGGTCGTATTTGTGTGTGTATACGGAGACATGTGGGTGCTTTCCAAATGCACAAGACACATGTCTGCACATGACAGTACGGATGTGTGTCTACTATTCCAAGGACACTTCCAGCCATAATAGCCACTTTCAAAATATATGACCAGACATCCCACAATCATCCTTCCTGGAGTTAATTTTTGTCAAACTATATATCCACACCTTAATACTCTAGATAAAATCCAAATTATAATGCTATTTAATTTTGCATGGAAAATGTGCTGTTATAGTGCAGAAAAATGTTCATAAAGTAATTTTTCCTAAATGAAAGCAAGACTTGTATTGTGGGAGTCCTCATTTGAAATGGAAGGTTCATCTATCTAATGCATTTTCATAAATTAAAACCCACAGTAGTGTATCGAAAGGCTGCATGCTTTCAATTGAATCAGATCTGTGGTAACATCATGTTTGAGGGTACACAAAGTGAATTTAATACTACATATAACTGTCAGTCCTTGGAAATAAGCCCACAAGAGATAGAGCCCCTATTGCTTTGGATTTTGCTGACTTTGTGCCAGAGTTAAATCACTTTGAACATATATCATCATATATATAATACCAGTGTGTTTCAGTTTCAGCTGCCGAGTTGTCATCAGTACACAAAGCTGTGGATCATTTAGGAAGTCTACATCACTACAGTCAGTGATCATTTAGAAAAACCCTGGGGTTATCCCATAGTACAATATGAGGAGCAAAGTTGCTTAAGCTTTTCTAGAGTGTTCTTTTAGAAGACTTTTTAGCAAAGTGCTAGCCTGGGCATGAGCCGGCGGTAAATTTTTACTACTTACATTAACTGTAGTGTCACCTCCAGCCTAGACATTCATCATGGCAATGGCACTAGCATCCTTTTAGCCTACTGCATTCAATCATAATAGGACGTTAGCTTGCTGCTAACACAGGCTACTGCTGTTGACATGGTGGATTTGGGAGCATGTTACAATTCTTCATAATCCCTTCACTGACATTTAAAGGGGAACTTCGGCAGATTTTTACCCTAGTTTTGATCACTAGAGGTCCCCGAGTACTGTCGATAGGAAAAAGAACGACCAGAATTGGTTCTAGCAAACTGGAGATCCTGCAGCTAATGGCCAGAGCTCCCAGTTAGTTATAATACACTTCTTGGGGGCATCTCCTAAAGA